TCCATTATAAGACACTCAAGCTCTAATTACGGCGTAATAAGCGCCAACCCGCGTCATCTGCCCCTTCCACTGAAATCTAGATGTGTATAAGAGACAGCTCAAGCTCTAATTACGGCGTAATAAGCGCCAACCCGCGTCATCTGCCCCTTCCACTGAACGTTGCAATCCCATCATTCGAGTAGTAGTAGTAGTGTATTTTCCGTCCAGCGACCTTTAGGTCGCTCAGGTCCCCGGGACGGGGCACAGGACGTGCTGAGCTGCTGGCGGTCTACAATCTGCTAATCGATACAGACAGGTGGGGCGGCCCACACAACGCGAAGCGAAATGAGCGCCAACCCGCGCGTCATCTGCCCCTTCCACAAAACGTAAACAAACCATCATCCAGCATTTTATCGGCTCAGAGGCGCTCCTTTGCTCTTCAGCTTGTTGCCCGTCAGCGGGACGTCCAAGCATACGGTGCCGTCTTTCAATGTGCCTCAAGGGCCACGGTCGAACGAGATACAGCGCTGCAAGCAGCAGAATTGACCCGGGCGGGCAAAGGGTGGTGACAACACCCTCCGCCTGGCCGTGTCGGGGAGAAGAGTTGCAACAAAAGAAAACGTGGAAAGAGGGGAAGGGATACAGCTGCCTAGTGGCGCGGGCAGATCGTCCCGAAGAACGAGCTTGCCTTCGCCATTTTGACGAACTGGTCGAATTCTCTGCCTATTGCCCGGCTGACCGACGCACTCGGTGAGGGAGCCAGCCTCATCCGATGTCGCGGTGGGACCTTCCGGCAATAGAAGAGATGCTTCGGTTCTTTTCGTCGGCCACACGAGCACGTCAGCCGTGCATCGTCGTGGTTGAGCCTTTCGTGGTAGTCAGCAAAATCCCCATGATGGGTCCTTGCTGCGAGCAGGTGGTGGAGAAGAGGTCGGTTGATAGTGAGTTCTGGTGGGCAACCAGTTGTGGCGTCGAGCTTGAGGTCTCGATACTGTTTAGGTGCAGACACTTCCCACCAGGCTTTAAACGCGTCTTGCGGTCGCCGCCGAGCGACCTTACGCAGATATGCCAGCGTCGGGAGAGCGTCTACAGGTTCGGGTTGAGAGGTACTGGCCTTTGCCAAGGCGTCGGCCTGTTCGTTGCCTGGGATATTGGTGTGTCCGGGGATCCAGCGGATCTCGGTGGCACCGTGTTCTGCGGCTAAGGCCTGGAATTCCAGGAACTCACGCTGAGAGGAATCTGAGGGCATGCCTCGAAGACATTTGGCGACTGCGAGGTTGTCGAGGCACACAACTATTCGTCTCGGTACTGGGAGGTTGAGAGCGGCACGCAACCCTTCAAGAGCGCCTTTGGCTTCAGCATCAAAGACTTCGGCAGGCCCAAGGCGGCCGTTCCCGCTGAGGACGGTAAGTCCATCCACATGTACGGCATAGCCGTACCCCGCAGCTCCCTCCGCAGAGAGGGACCCGTCTGAGTAAACGACTGCCGTTCGTGGGGCAACTGCCCGGAGCCAGTCGCGGAAGTTGGCCGCTGATTCCTCTTTCGATGCAGTCTGCAGGGCCTGGTCGCTGGCAGATCTGCGTGGAAGGAGCTCTGGCCGGGCGCATCTGGGGAGCAGCTCGTCGGCGCGACGCAGTCGGGTCCGGAAAGGCTTTCGTGGAAGCTGATATTTGAGCTTGATGGCCCTGTTGATGACAGGGGCCCGGATCGGCTCCGTTCGCACCACAAGTGGGTGCGCTTTGTCGAGTGATCTAAGGCGGGCTGCAAAGCGCAGGCGGCACGACTCGAGCAGTTGTGAAACTGGCGGAATGCCCGCCTCGCGGTGCCTGGTGCTCAGCGGTGTGGTCTTCCAGATTGGGAGGACGGCCCGTACGGCCGTATGAAGCGACTTATCCATTCGCCGGACGAGGTGCATTATTCCTGACGGCCCTTCTCTTGTGGGTTGGGACCAATTCGGGCGGGTCATACCCGGGTACCATGCCTCTGCTCCGAAGAGCAGTTGTGGTTCGATGCAAGCGCGGACGGCTCTCCGGACCGCACTCGGCAGGGGTCCGCGATTGGTACTCGTCATTGCCTTGAGGTGGTGGGCTACCCTCTGCGCTTTGGCAGTCCACTTCTCGACGTGGGTCTTGAAGGCCAGGGTGCTGTCGAGCCAGATGCCTAGCCATCTCACCGCGGATTCTGGCCACTTCTCCACTCCGTCATGGAAGACTGGCGGTACAGTTTCCGGCTCTTTCCGGGAGAAGTGCATGACTTCAGTCTTCTTAGGGTCAAAGGTTATCGCATTTTCGGTCCCCCACTCCATGAGTTCATGGACGTGTCTTGACGCGTTGCGGGCAGTCTCCTCTAGGGTGATGCCGACGCAGAGGATGGCGGTGTCGTCTGCATAGCCGAAGCGCTCTTTGGGGTTGCGCAAGCGGTAGATCGGTTCCGTGTAGAGTAAGTAGAGTATGGGGGAGGCCGGCGACCCTTGCGGCAGTCCGCATTGGAGCGGTGACGACGGGGTCGTGACGTCCTGGTAGCGCACGGAGGCTGATCGGTCGTGCATGAGTGAGCCAGCCCAGCGGGCGACGTTTGCAGGCCAGCCTTGAAAAACCCACTCCTTCCCGGGAAGCCGCCCGGCCGGCCGTGGCTAAGCCTTAACGACCCCGTCAACCTGATGCTCCTTCTGGAGACCTTCCCACAGGAGCACAACAGCCCGGCCAAGAGCTGTAACGGTGCCGCCCCATATCCGGTACGGGCCATGCGGTCGTGTGATCCAAGTTTGCACCTTAAGCCGGCCGCAACGGGCGTCTTCCCCGTCTCTGGGCCGACCGACATGCGCATCCGTCCTCTCGAGCCACTGTGGCATCTCCGCGGTCTCGGTGTCGTCTTGGAGCAGCGGCGACACCACAGCACGGTGACCGTGCCGGCCCTAGTGCGAGTAGGGACCACTCCTCAGACTTGCCTCTGGTCATGCCACAGCGCTACGGCCCACCGGCTACCCCGGGCGCGACCCCGGGACCGGCTTCCCGTTACCGCGACTCGTCTCCGAGACGCAGCCGACCATGTCTTGCAGACCGGAGACGCCGTGCGACTGCCGCGCCGGCACAGCCGCCTGCACTCCGTCCACTAACCTAACCAGGTTCCGCCATATGGTATTCGGTCGATATGTCCTCGGGGGCGCATCGTCGGTGACGGGCTTTGCTCCTCGCGCCGTACGTCCGACGCATGCGCGGGTGGTTCGGGCTTTCTGTGATTGCTTCCTTAACAGATCCGACAACCTCCTGCTCCCGTCAGTGTCATGTTGTCCCGACCGAATAAAGCACTTAGGCTTGTCCCGAGCCCTCGGGCCGGCAATGCTTCAACCCCCTTGGGCCACCTCACATGCCAACCACCCAGAGCCGGACTGATTCGAGGGTGTCCTGTCTCGTCGCCAGAACGGTTTCGAGTCGGATGGTATTCGTACGCGATTTCCCTCTTGCAGCTTGTTCGCTTCGCCGACGATGCGCAGGGACCGGCCGAGCTGCGGGATTTGTTTGCGAGCCACGCCGACGCGAATCATCGCGACGACCCCGCGCCGCACAACGCCGCCCTCAGCACCGACCACTGCGCACCGCAGCCACTGACACCGGACACCACGAGAAGGTCTGCTGCTTCGTCCTACTGCTCTTTCAAGCAGCATCCGGCGTGCTCGCCGGAGGCTCCCATCATTCGACATGGATGAAAAGCGTCTGTGCAGGGTAGGGGAGTTCCAGCTCGGGCCTCATGCACGCCATCAGTAGTAACTCTGTGATTCGAACCGAGTGCGATGAAACTTGCAGAGAGTTTCGGGGGAACTGGGTAGCGAAC